TGTAACAAAGCCCTACCATTTCTTCTACCCCAAATCAGACATTCAGTCATTTGTAAACCAAAGCCCTACCATTTCTTCTACCCCAAATCAGACGCCCAAATCCCTACCCATTTCTTCTGCCCCAAATCAGACTCGAAGAGCAGTGGAGATCAGTCAATTTTTGGCTTTTATAAGCCAATAACCAAACACCCCTATGTCTAAAGTGGGTATATCTCTTGTGCGTATAGACATTTGTCCTTGTTTATTGAGTCATTGAGTGATTGATTTATATTCTCTTAAATGTTTTATCGAATTGGGGTGTAGGGTCCTTGGAATTGGGAATTCAACCTTCTTTGAAAAGAAAGGTAATGATTTGAGTTTCCATCCAACAAAAAAGGAGGGGAAAATAGGCATAAGAGTCGCATTAACACTTTCAACTCAAGAAATTAAAATGAGAAAAGAGATTAATGATTAGAAAAAATAGGAAGGAATTGAAGTATAATACAATTTCAAGGTATACATCATCACTCTTACTTCAATTCTATAGTATTTAGTTAAGCAAAACAAAAAACTCCATGGTGCCATCACAATTCAAAGGAATAGTCGGTCTCCATGGCAATGGCAGTGTCAGTAATGCGAAGTCCAGTATCGTAAACCTCTCCACTTCTCCAATTCTCCGGCATCACTTTACTAGCCCAATACCACTTGCCGTCCAGCCCCGCCGTGACCACCACCCGAAACTGCAGCGCCCCGCTCGGAACTCTATTCGTCTCCCAAATTGCACGGCCGCTGCTGCTTTTTCCCTCATTATTAATCTTCCGGCTCATGAAATTCCAGTTCAGAGACCCAACCTGTGCTACATCCACAGCAACGATTTCTGTTGGGGCGCCTAGGTTCAGAAACTGGATTGCTAGGTAACTCGGCGACTCACTTGATTCTTCGACGCGGATTGCCAAATTCTTAGCATCGGAACGGTGAGCGGAAGTTGAAAGGAAGAGGAGAAGCAGCAAGTAGGAGATAACAGCAGCCGCCATGATTAACTGATCGAAGTAAACTGTTATAATGGTTTAATTTGTTGAGAGAGAGAGAGAGATGAACGTGAAGAAGATGGTAGTGGGCGGGAATATATATAGATGTGATCCGGCCGCTCGTTAATTGACGCCTTTTGCGTTGCATTGCGTCGCTTAAAGTAGTGCTTTATTAGTAGTTAGTAGGAAGATCTTTTAATAGAAATAAGGAAAAAAAAAAACGAATTTTATTATATGGTTTTAAAAAAAAAAGTAAAAAATTTGGCCTCAGCCACAGGGTCACTGGCCTTTATTCAACGTTTAATTTTTTTTTTTTTCAATTCTTTTTGTGAAAGTAAAAAAAATAGATTTATCTTTGGTATTCTGAGTGATTGAGTGAATAGGGTATGCTTTTTATTATACTTATTAAATGGTTATATATTAAATTTTTGCTTACATCATCTCAATTAAGATTGTGGTTGCGAGTTTCCTCACAAAAGTTACATCTTAAAATTGTCAAAATCCTTCACGAGATGTAAATTAATGCGAGCTCCTCCATCAAGTTTTAATTTTTTTTTTTGAAAAACCAATCCGCCGATTGTATTAATTAATGAAAGCTATAATAGCGTCAGGAGGGATAGACTCCCAATACATAGAATGTTCCTGAGTAAAAGCTAACGAAGCTAAAGTATGAGCATGTAAATTAATCTGTCTAGGCACATAGCTTAACGAAATTAAATAAAATAAAGACATCATTGTCTTGCACTGGTCAATTACCAACCCAGCATACGAGTGAATGGTTGTAGTCTGGTGGTGTATGGTATTTCGCAGCACCATACAATCCGTGAGCAGATTGGCCGAATTGATATTTCTTTCAACTAACCAGGAGAGCGCCTCTTTAAAAGCCATAGCCTCCGCCATGAGTGGTGAGAAACAAACGGGTGATCTGCCATTCTTTGCTGCCACAAACGAGCCTCCAGGCTCTAATAACACAATTCCATACGTAGCCTCCCCTGTTTCCTGCCGATACCCTGCATCTATATAACATCGCATATGATTGTCGGGCAATACCGGTTCGGATTGTGGCTGTACATCTTCTCGCATGGGCCGGCCATGCACTGCACCATAAGCTTTCAGTAGTGTTGTCGCCCCCCTCACAACAGCCTGCGGCCGTGACATGGCCCCTTCCCACACGGCCGTATTGCGGCTTCTCCAAATATTGTATAGAATTCCCACCAAGAGCTGTGTCTGTTCCTCCGTTAGTATCGTCATAGCCCCAGTTAGCCATGCTGCAAACGAATCTGTAATAATATTCGTGACGGGTAATTGTGTTATATTTCAAACTAATACAGAATATTCACAATAAACTAATGCATGCAACACATCTTCATTATTAAATCTGCACATAGGACATGCCGGGTCAATCTCCACCCTCTTATTAATTAAATTTGTGGTAGTGGGTAAAATATCACATACTGCTCTCCATAAAAATGTCTTCCACTTTGGTGGTACTTTCAATTTCCACATCTTAACCCATTTATCAAACTCACCTGGGTTATTCTCATAATCACCAACAATACGCTTGTAAGCATTTTTTACTGAATAAATTCCTTTTGGGTCACCCATCCAGTACCATGAGTCATCATAATCAGGGCTAACAGGGATCATAACTATTCTGCTCACATCCTCAGGGATAAATAAATCGGATAAAATATGTGGATCCCAAGTTCGTGTTTGTGGATCAATCAAACCTACTACTCGTGCCTCTCTTAACTCTTCAGGCATAATTGTTTGTACCAAGGGACTTGGATTATCCTGGAGCCATGGGTGTCCCCAAATCAGAGTTGTCTCACCATTTCCAATCCTGCGTCTTATCCCAGCCACCACTATTGGAAGTGCTGCCATTATACTTCTCCAACAAAAACTTGGGCAATTACCAATAGAAGCATCAACTAAACTAGAAGTGGGGTAATACCTGGCTTTATATACTCTTGCCACCAGAGACTCTGGGTTTGTCAAAAAATGCCATGCCTGCTTACCCAGCATAGCTAAATTAAAAGCTCTCAATTCCTTGAAACCCAAACCACCAAACTTCTTGGGGATACATAATTTATCCCATGCCTTCCAGTGAATCCCCCTACTTCTACCACTTCCCCACCAATATCTATTCATGGTTCTCTCAATAGATTGGCAAACTGTTTCAGGCAACAAAAACACACTCATTGAAAAAGTTGGCATAGATTGAGCCACACTTTTCAATAAAACCTCCTTACCAGCCTGAGACAATAGCTTTGTGCTCCACGATCCAATCCTCTGCCTGATTTTTCCTTCAACATAAGAAAAAACTGCTCTTTTATTTCTGCCCACAAACGATGGAAGGCCCAGATATTTCCCAAAATTATCAGCCTGCACTACCGCAAGACAATTTGCCACCTGCATTCTGACCATGTGGTGGGTATTTCGGCTAAAACATATATTTGACTTGTTATAATTCACCACCTGTCCAGATAAATTCTCATACCTCATCAAACATTCTTTAATCACAGTAGCCTCCTGAATATTTGCTTTAAAGAAAAGCAGGCTGTCGTCGGCAAAAAATAAATGAGATACCGGGGGAGCACCCCTGGCCACTCTACATCCATGTATAGATCCTGCCATCTGTTCCTTCTGCAACAACATCGAAAGTGCCTCAGCACAGATAATGAATAAATAAGGGGAAAGAGGATCTCCCTGCCTGAGTCCACGTGTCGGCTTGACCCGTCCCCCCACCTCCCCATTCACCATTACAGTATAGCTCACTGTTGTCACACACAACATTATTAGATTAACCCATTTATCACTAAAACCCAGCACCTTCAACATTCTTTCCAGAAAACTCCATTCCATTCTATCGTATGCTTTTGACATGTCCAACTTCAGTGCACTCCAGCCCACTACACCGCACTGCTTCCTGTTCAAGTAGTGACCCACCTCAGCTGCCACCAAGATATTATCTGTAATTAACCTGCCAGGAATAAACGCACTCTGGGATTCCGAGATGATATCTCCCATTAAAGTTTTCATTCTGTTTGCCAACACTTTTGCCATTATCCTATATATAACATTGCTTAATGCAATCGGTCTCAAATCTGCAACAGACTCCGGGACCTCTTTTTTAGGGATCAACACTATGTTAGTATCGTTCAGTCCTTCAGGAAATACCCCAGAGTTCAAAGCATGCAATATAAACCCAGACACATCATCCCCCACAACAGACCAAAAGTGCTGATAGAAACCCGGATTCATTCCATCCGGGCCTGGTGCTTTATCTGGGAACATAGAAAAAAGTGCTGTCTTTACCTCTTCTTTCGAAAAAGGCTGATCCAGCATCTCATTATTCTCATTCGACACACGAGGGGCAAAATCATTAAAGAGGGGATCATCACAGCTCAAATTATTCGTAGTAAATATGCTCTTAAAATAATCCAGAATCACCGAATGCATATCTGTATCCTCCACCTAATCCCCACCCTCATTCTTAATACTAGCAATAAAATTCTTCTTTTTACGGGCAGAAGCATACCTGTGGTAGAACTTGGTGTTTGCATCTGCACCCCGGAGCCAGTGTTGTTTCGCACGCTGCCTCCAAAATACATCCTCCTGGGCCTCCAATTGCTTTAACTGATTCTCATTCTGTTGGAATTCGGCCAATGCGACCGGATTCGTCACATCACAGAACTTCTCTTGCTGCTTCCGCAACTGCCCTATTCGGTGACCAAACTTATGAAATTGGTCACCCCCCCATCGCATCAATTTCATACCACAATGCTGCTGACAGTGCATCAAGCCCTCCGGCCTCCCCTCCTGCCATGCTGTCTCCACCACCTCCTTGCACCCCTCATCCAATAACCATGCATTCTCAAATCTAAACCTCCTCGGTCCTCTTACCCTACGCATACTGAGAGCATTTATATTGAGGAAAAGAGCCGAGTGATCTGATTCTCTAGTCTGCAAATTCTCCACCTCCATCAGTGCCTAATCCGCCCACCTATCCGTTAACCCCGCAACATCCACCACCCCCACCCCCGGCTGCCGTACTGCCGCCCCCTCCCCCCTCCCTCGCTGCCTACCCATCCCCCTTCCACCTAAACTGCCTACATCATCGCCCTCCCCCCTACCAATTTCTCCAACCAACACATGATGCCTACCACGCCCACCGCCCTCCCCTCTTCCAATTTCTTCATCCAAAGCATGCTGCCTACCACGTCCACCGCCCTCCCCTCTACCAACCTCTCCAATTAATGCTTCCTGCCAACCTTGCCCACCGCCCTTACCCCCTCCTTCTCCCACCCCATGCACATTCTCCACACTATTCCTTTCGCTACAACCAATACTCCTCCCATCCGAACCAGTTCGCCACATCCCCTCCCCCGTTTGTCGCAAACCGGTTCCAGCCGACTGCCCTCCACCACTCCGCACATCCGCAGCGTACGTCTCCTCCCCACACTCAATCAACTCGTCATCCATAGCTATGTCACCGGCCATCGTCCGGACAGAAGAAAACGATCACCGTTGAAAACCCAGGGAAACCCTAGTAGAGAATGCAAAAACCCTAGAAAGAATCTAGAGAGGAAAAAAACCTATTTGACACTTTGCAGGGCCCATCAAGTTTTAATTAATACGGAGTATTGTATTTAAATGTTGAATACATAATAATTGATCAAGTTCTAATTAATACGGAGTATTGTATTTTGCAATTAAGAAAAGTAAGACCTAATTAATACGGAGTGGTGTGATAATATTTTTAGACATAACTAGTATTTGCGCCCGTTCGCACGGAATAGATTTGTTGTAATATATTACGAATATTTGGATTGATATATAATTATTTAAATTAGAGCATCAAATATTATATAGTGCAATTGAATATGTGATTTGAATCATTTATGTGTTTTGATGTTATCATTGCTTGAATTTGAGCAAATAATTGCTCAAATTAATAGCTAATGTGTAGATGTACGCATGCGGTGCTGCAATTTTGAAAATTATATTTATCATCATTTAGTATTTTTTTATAAATTAGGAAAATGTGCTCGTTCTCCAGCCACTAATTTATATGGAAAAATTGCTATCTTAATTCATTTGTATATATGGAAGATATATTTTTTTTTGTCTAGATATATAGGAATTTTGTCATTTAAAAAAATATATATAATATCAACTATTGTATTTACACATTATTGAAATCTCTTTGTAGACGAATTGGTAGTAGCAACACAATCTCGTCCATCTTCGTCTAGAGCTAACACCTTTAGTCCATGGATGGGTGACTCTTGTGAAAATATATAATGGTAGAATATTAGTCAGTGATCCTTTTATATTTTCAGTCAATTAGTAATATCATATTCATTTTCAGTCAATTATTCTTTTTTATTTTCAGTCAATTAGTCAATTAGAATATTAGATGAAGTGATATTTTTACCTAATTTTCGTTCCATTTTTAATTGATGATGTATAATATTTTTATTGAAATATTTTCGTTATATTTTTAATTTACCTTTATATTGTTTAAAATATGCATTTACTATTGATGATGTAGAATATTATTATTGAAATATTTTCATCTAATTTTTAATTTTTGTTTCATTTTTAATTAAAATACAATGATATGCCAGTTTCTTTTTTCATTTTAGTCAATTAATCAATTACTCAATTAGAAGTATTATTGTTACCAAATAAGCTTTATTAATTTTTTACTAATTAATTAATATTCATATTAATATGGGCGGAAATGTTGAAAAGGAGGATTTTACTTTTATTAATAGTATAGATAGATTAATTTCATTTTGAAATCATTGGTTCACATATTTGAATTATTATTTTTCTTAATTATTCGCATTGTAAACATAAATGATATTGCAATAATTAATTTATGATATTTATCAAGTTGTATCTTTTTTAAAATATAAAATTTTCACATGTTTATGTGTTAAAAAAATTTTAAAATTATTTTTATTTTTAAAATTTTTTTCCAGCAACACAAACACTCCCTTAGTCTCCCATCAAAAACTGATAAAGAAAAATCATTTTATTAAGGAAATTAAAACTAATTAAATTAAGGGAAAATGGCACTTTTTCCCCCTGAGTTATATACCTATAGCATTTTTTCCCCCTAAGTTATTGAAGTGGCTGTTTTTCCCCCTGAAATATTAAATGGACATATTTACCCTTAAACTAAATATTTAATTTATTTTTTTCTCCAACAAATTATGACCATAATTTGGTTCAAACTAAACAAACACTATAACAACCAAACCGAAATATTCCAATTACAATTTAGAATCGAAATTCGATATTTAGAGTTTATTAAAATCGTGAACCGGAACGGACGGTTCATGTTCCGAAAAAAAAAATAAAATACATTTATTGTTCAATTTTTTGATACATAATTTTAATAAATCGACATTTAAATATTGGGTTCTAGATCTGAATTATAACCGTAAACTATTAATTCGATTGCTTTAGTATCCGGTTCAATTCAAATCGAACTGTGGTCATCCCTACGTATACGCAATAATTTGTTGGAGTAGTAAAATAAATAAAATGTTTACTTTAAGGGTATAAATGTCAATTTAATATATCAGGGGGGGGGGGGGGGGGGAAAGCACCACTTTTAGAATAATTGAGGGGACTAATGTGCTTACCTAAATAATTGAGGGGGAAAAAGTGCTATAAGTATATAACTCAGGGGTAAAAAGTGCCATTTTCCCTTAAATTAAATCTAATCATGCTATATTTATTTGTAACTGTATATTAATTTCATTTTAAAATCATTGATTCACATATTTGAATTATTTATTTTTTCTTTAATTATTCTCATTGTAAACATAAATGATATTGCAATAATTAATTTATGATATTTATCAAATTGTATCTTTTTTTAAAATATTAAAATTTCTCATGTTTAGGGGTTAAATAATATTTTAAAATTATTTTTTATTAGTAATTATTTTTATTTTTAAAAGATGTTCCAGCAACCCAAACACTCCCTTAGTCACCCATCAAAAATTGATAAAGAAAAAAATCATTTCATTAAGAAAATTAAATCTAATCATGCTATACCAGGACTATGTGGTCTAATGGTACCCGGGTTGGACTTCCATTTGGAAGGTTGTAAGTTCAAGCACTGAGGCATTATTAGCTCTTTGTGTTTCAGTAGGTTGAGAAAGTATATGAACATATACTACAATGTAATAGAGCTAGTAGCATTCATGCTATATTTATTTGTAACTGTATATTAATTTCATTTTGAAATCATTGGTTCACATATTTGAATTACTTTTTTTTCTTTACTTAATTATTATAAACAGAAATGATATTGTACTAATTAATTTATGATATTTATCAAATTGTTCCCAAAAAAAAAAAATTATAAGATTTGCACATGTTATGAGGGGTAAAAAATATTTTAAAATTATTTTTTATTAGTAAGTATTTTTATTTTTAAAATATTTTCCAGCAACTCACACCGTCTCCCTTCAAAAAGTGATAAAGAAAAGTCATTTCATTAATAAAATTAAAACTAATTAAAGTATATCTAATCATACTATATTTATTTGAAACTATATATTAATTTCATTTTGAAATCATTGGTTCACATATTTAAATTATTTATTTTTTTCTTTAATTATTATAAACAGAAATGATATTGTACTAATTAATTTTTGATATTTATCAAATTGTATTTTTTAAAAATATAGTGTTTTACCCGTGCGTTCCACGAATTGTTTTTGTTATTATGCATTTAAAACAAAAAATATTAAAAAAAATGAAAAGATGTTAAAATGTACAATATAATAATATAATTGTACTATTATATATTTGGTTAAATATCTATTTTCATAACATACAAAATTAAAATTAAAATCTTGTATGTATAATATAATCTCTAATCATTTACATATTTAGATAAATATATAGAAAAAATTCACATAATTAAGTTGATTTATTTCTAATTATATTTCATATATTATAATTCTAAAGATATGAATAATAAATTAATAACTAAGAGAATTGTACTTAGACTTCAATAAAAAAAAATGTAAATTCCAAATCTAAAAATATTATCACACCGATCTAATCCCCCCCCCCCCCCCCCCCCCCCCCCCCTTCAACAATATGGCATCTTCTGATTCAGGTGAAGGAGGGACTTGTACACTTCCTGATACATTATTATTATTCTTACTCGTCTCTCGTTCCACGTTAATGGTCTCATATCCTTCTCGCGTTGCAAGCATCGAAAAGCTAGCTCTGCTACACAAGTAGTCATCCTCATAATTTTGGTACCTGTCTCAAACCCCAGACACGGATCGATCAGCTCATCAAATGCACGTCGGACTATCCCATTCATGGCTAAGTTTGACAAGTTGATTTCATAAGGTCACCTAATTAAGCTATAATGCACATAAAGCAAATCACAATAAAAAACTAAATCCAACCAATTAACTAGTCTAACTTATAACCTTATAAATTTATATGTTATCTCTTATATTTTCAATATGGAACTCTTAACAGTTTACAACAACCTCACTTCAATTTCTATAGCTATTTACCCTACCAAAATAAACTATCACACTGGAAATATTGAAGTGTTTTTGTACCTCTTTTGAGAATGGAATTGAAGTGTTACATAAAAGGAAACATGGCCTAATATATATTGACCTAGACCACTTGGTCAGTGCAACAAAGACTATAGATGCTCCAAAAACTGGAATGAAATAAAACCAAAATAGGAACTCTGGTTTTACTCCCTGGGAATAGAAGTGGTAGTTTCATTTATAGGTTAGGAAACACTAGTATAGGTACAATAATCACAAGTTTGATAAGAAAATGAAATAAAATAGTATGTTACAAATCCCATATATATAGTCAGAAGGCAATTGCCAGTTCCAGTGACTTCATCAAGAACTGCTCTTGGTAGCCGCAACATATATGCTTCAAAATCACACCATCTGCAAGTGAAGGACCACCAAAAA